GATAAATAGTTGGAAAATGTTGTTGTATGCTGCCTTCTATGTTTTATCAGTGACTATGCCGTGTACTTTCGTTTTCACCGTGCGTGTCACGCCAATGAACTATAGAAAATACGTGGGTCATAGCCCCTCAAAAACGAGTCCGGCTATTCCCCTCTGATAACCTCGAAGTGTATCAGAGAGTATTACTTTGCTTTACAATGGCTGGATATAATGTGAGGGTTGGCTGCATTGCAATATCAAACAAGAGCTGGTTGCTTTTTATTATTTTTCAAGTTGTCACGGATCTTGGTGGATTGGTAGATTTTGGCAGATAATTTGTGTATGAAAACACGGCGGCCTCCTATGTAGAGATGTATAGTTTTCATTGGGAGAGTGCAAGCTTACACAAGATTTCTAAACCATGCTTGTTTACATGCATGCAGGCAAGTACTTGTAATTATAATTTTCAGTGAGGCTCCATTCATACATGTTTAGGCGAGTATCGATCGGAGGGTTCATTAGTCCGAGGGTTAATTAATCTATGTATTTATTGTTAATTAAGTTTATAACTAACTTCTCAAATGACATGATACAGTATTACGTAATGTGGTCATTATTACACCCAGACTAACAGAAAAAAAAAGAAAAAAATACAATGGGGAAAAATTATATTATAACTGCCATTCTGTGAACCCCCTAAGTTTCTCTACAGTTTAAAAAGTTTAGCGGGCGCTTCTTCTAGTTAGTGTGCACCGTGTGGCGGCGTTCCTCCGTACTGTGAACCTGTGTCCCGTGTATAGTGTGTTGGCATGCACACTAAAACACAAGCTAAACACAACAGTTGAGTAACAAAACATCGTCTTAGTCTACGCACAGTATCCATTGACATCTGTTGATGATGTATTGTAAACGACAATAACGATAGACAAATTGTAAATGTAAAACAGAATATGCAGAAATAAGTTAGAAAACGTCTGCAGTGAAAATATTATAATTTCATGTTGAATTCCCTTTCCTGTTCTCACTGTGGAGTCGGTTACAAACTATATCAAACCATCTAGTTAATATAAGCAACATTTTAAACGAATGTAGCAATATGGTATCTCATAGTACTCCATAGCCTACCCAGTGTTCTCTCCCCACGGCCATATTCAGCTTGTAGCCGTGTAACTTATGTATCTTCCATTTTCTCTTTCTGGAAGGTGGTGCCTTGCTAATTTTTGCTCCAACAAAAAATCACTTCTACTCTTGACTGTACATCGTTCAAATGGCGTATAAACACCCAGATGATTGGATGACGCACTGCACATAAATGATGCTATTATTGAAACATATTTCACGTATTTTATGACTGTATATCAAATGAAAACAAGTACAGTACAGCTGTGTAAGTTTCAGAAATTGTCTTAATCCGTTTTTTAAAATTTAGGGCAATTTATAGTTTATGCTATATGGCCAGCACTAGTTTAATCCGGTACTGCACAGCACCAGTCGTCAAGCGGCACCTTTCAGATTGACATAGGCGAACTTTGCTGATGACACATTTACATAGAGTACGCCTTATGTTCCAATTGTGACGCTTCATTATACGTAATGTAATGATTTACCTTTTCTTGTTGCAAATTTTACAATAAGTAGATATACAATGATGCCACTCCCTTGGAGAACTTCTTTTAAATTTTGCAAAATGTTGTTCCATACATGAAAAACAGAGCGGCAAATACCGTACCCAATTTGACGAAGTCGATTCAGAATAAGTGATTGATCACCGGTTCGCACGCGACGAACCCATCCCACGGGGGTGGGGGAATTACGTTGCCTACCGAGGACGTACCCGGGGCTATTGATCGGAAGTTTGGGTAAATATAAATGTGATATTTTTTGTCAAGTAAAATATAAATATCGGTAATAATTCTCAAGTCTACAGCTTTAAATGATGGGCGCGAATATCTTATTGACATTTTTAAAATGTATTTATTTATTATTATTATAATGTTTTATTAGTTTAGCATGACATATATACAAGCTAACGTCTAAATGAATTCAACGATTTTTTTTGAATAAAAATATATCCTGAAGTTGCAAGATGCGTTCAAAATTTAACAATAAATGGCATTCCTTTACCATTTAAGACCGTCGGACTAATGAACCCTCGAACAAATGGACCCTCGAACAAATGGACCCTCGAACAAATGAACACTCGGACATGTGAACACTCGGAATAGCGAGCTGTCCGGGGTTAATTAATCACATTTGCTTAGCTTTTAAGCATCAGTTCATCGGGAGAACCTGACCCTCAGAACGGCCACATTAAATTCACAACTGTGCCGCGGGCTATACAGACAGTAATTAAATCACGCACGTCAACACAGAAACACAGAGCGTCGAACACTAAAATATAAACGGTTGCTGCATCATATATGAAATAAATGTCACTCAGTCATAGTGTGACCTCAGCTCTCCGGTAAACACAAACATAAATACAGGTCTGTTGCATTGGCAAATTGCTAAAGCACAATTAAATGTCAAATTTGTATTTGAGTTATTTGATCGCACTCTTTGTCGCCTTGTGAACTCAAAAAGGTCAAATTTAGGTCAATATATGCATGGTCACGTGATTAACAAATTTCAATGGCCCAAGCTAAACACTTTCTCAATGTCATATCAATGTCATTGACTGTTCTTTCTTTTGAAATGTTCTAATCGGGAAGTTTCTGTCTATAACAAATGTATGTATAGTATTAAACAGAATTTGTTCAGTTCTTGCATAACCAGGAGATAAAACACAAGTTTTGATGTATTTTACCCTAGATAAAAGTTGAACGCAAGGAGAGAGACACGATCCGATGCCATGTCCCAAGAAAAAAAAAACGATTTGCTCAGTATTGTTTACCAACAATTTAAGTCTTGGTAAAGGCAAATATGTTTTATAATAAAATAAATTACAATTACTTACCGTAAATTGCGTTTTACCGTTGTTAGTCATCCATCCAATGACAATGTCCGATCCGGGCATACCTCCATTGGGGGAAAACCCAAATCCGACATAGCCAGTTGTTTTCACGTGAACTTCGAACGTGATCTTTTCTTGGTTAAACTTCCAAAATAATTTATAGAAACCATACTCATCCAAAAATGCGTGGTGCGTGAACTCTTCTGTTGGAACCAATGGGGTTGCAATGATAGTAGCTACAGGTACGTACAATATCAGCAATAGGAAACCTCTTTGCGCCATGTTGAAATGTCTTGTTGGTCTCTGTGTTTAGTCGTTGTTTACACCTGTACTTTCTTTTGTAAGCAATTAGTCACGTGTTTGTCAAGCGACAGTTTCTATTGCCCCTGTTCCTATCCGGGACAGTAGTGTAAAATTGACTAGTGAATACT